CGCACGCTGGGTGCCTGTGCCAGGACTGGCCTGGGAAACCGGCGCCTGTTAGACGTTTCTGCGAAATGCAAAATATCTCGGGGCGTAGTTTCGGCAAATTTTGCCAACAGGGGGAATTTCAAAATTTTGTTTTCAATGTCTTTTACTGTCTAGTTTATTCGAGTTATGTATGTAACTTCACTTAATTCATAGATTCAACTGATAAAATCGAAGGGAATCGGCTGTTAATACCTGAGCGTATTCGAAGACTAGCATGTACTTGGAGTTCGTCTTATAGGCATCGACGAGACGGCAGATATTCGGATGTGAGCACATTTGGAGAATTTCAACCTCGTTCTCAATGAAGAACCATTTTCCACGGAGCTGTTGCTTTTCGATTTCCTTAAAGAATGCATCGTTGGTAAATTAGGAACAGAAATTCTCCAGTAGTAAAAAAAACTATAATACTAATCTCCTGCAGTGTGAAAGCCTCATAGATATAGGCAGTAACCAAATTTAGCTATTAGTAGGTCTCCCACAGAGCTCGTGCTCCAACAATTCTGTTTTGATATTTGCATTCATTTTTTATATTCATTCTATGGAAGAGCTTCTTGTGAGCTATTTGGTACCGTCTTCATTATGGTCTTGCGAAAGTCAGTATTCGATAGCGCAGGTGTTGAAAAGGTCCACTATCTGCTAAAAGTAGGAGATGGCTTGTCAAGTAACAAATTAATGACAAGGAGTCCTGCTTGAGTAAGTGCTCAAGCTCAGTTCAAAACTACCCTTTCTGAATGTGAAAGTACTTTGGTTCCGTTTAGTTAGCCAACTCTTTTTTTGCTGTCCGTGCGGTGGTCAAGCGCGAATAAATAGTTAATGGGTTTCCCCATTGTGAACACGTGAAACAGCCGTCGACAATGGCATGCAAAAGCGACCAGCAAAAAGAGCAACGCCAATGTCCACTACTAAAACACCTGCTCACCTAGAAAGGAGCTCCTAGCACATTCAGAATTCCTGACGTAAGCGCTACACTGGGTGACTGCAACAAAGCAGAAGATCGCGAAATCATGCTCAGAAAAGGAACGGAATGATTTCAGAGTATTCGGAATAAGGAGTCACACGCTTTCTGTCAATAAGCAAGGAGGAATAAAAAAGGAAAAGAGGAAAGCCTAACGGTGACAATTATCCCGACAGAGCATAGGATGACGAGGCGTACTATTCTATCTATGGAGCGGCCATATATCGATTAGTCATTCGTAAAACACACGTTTGAAACCCTACACTGTGGCTTCTCGAAACAAGCTTAGCATCCAAGACTGAGCCAAGATCACTTTAGCGGCACTGAAAGCTATACAGCCCACAGTTTGGAATGAAGAAGACCATTGTTTTGTATTTTGTTTGCTATTTTTCTGTACCCCAATAGCCAGCTCCACCCTACATAGTTCGGAAAGTCGTGAGGGTTACTAGCAGGAACCAGGAGGATGAAACTGAAATTTCTTTCTGGGAGGTCCACTGGCCGGCGCTAACTTACCAGCTGAACAACGAGTAATATTAATCATTGCCAAGTGGAGTTCTTTCAATGACATCGTGTTTGCTGAAGGGTTGTATTGGGCGAAAGAGTTTTGTGACGGCATTTAGCCGCTTCCAGTCCTCTCTGCTCACTAGTTTTTCTTGGGAATTTGTAAGTTCCGAGGTGGTACCACGCACCGGATGGCTGAACATGAAACTATTTACGGTCGGAAAAGTTTGTAGTCAGTGCAAGTGTGAAGGTCCAGTTACGGGGAAAATATCTGACCTCAGACGAAAACTCGAACGCGTCCTACGCTGACTGCTCCGAGTGTGCTGTCATTACGCACCGGTGATCGCTTTTATCCTCACCCTCATGGATTTCGTGCAAAAGAGTTGGAGTTGAGGTGAGAAGTGTACCGTAGGGGGCAGCAGTGCGGGTAAGAGGGGGTGAGGCGGGATGATAGTGAGCGATCAAGTTTGCTCGTCATCAAGGTCTGCTTACTGAGAGCTCTCGAGTGGGCTCCACAAGATTTCGATCTTCTGCCAGACAAAGTTCAGTAACTGTATACCTGGATGAACGAGGCCTTACAAAAATTTTCCACTGAAGAGGAAAATCAAGCGCCTCTTAACTAGTCCTCAAGGTCGAGTCCCATAGAGATGTTTTTCTTCGGCACAATAGTAATCACTCACCTTGAGTGCGCATCGTTTCTCGTCTTTTCGCCTCTGTGCGAAGAAAACTCGTGAGAAATTCCCTTGACCGATGACAGCTCCGATTTCATAGTGCTTCTCTAAGGATTCTCTTGATTCCACCAGCCGAATGTTTTCGGAAGTCTGGAACAAACAAGGAATTGAAGCGCAGAGGCTTCCAATGCACAATCAATACCGTCAATAGTTCGTCTGATTGCCTAAGAGGAACTCAAGTTCGAAACGATCTGGAAGCTTCTAGGCACTGCATCGCTTTTTTATTGGAATCGCACGGAGGAAATGCAGTAGTCTCACTTGGCCTTCGTTCTGGCAATAGCCAAGATATGGCACACAGCACGCAGTCAGGGGGTATCATTAGCTGCTCTGATTTTGTTACAATTCTGTTTGCCTTCGCCCATCATTTGAATTTGGAACCCATATAAGACCTCTGACTAGCAATCCGAAAGGCGAATGGGTTCATCACTCAGCTCAACTTTACAGCACTCTAGCTGGGACATCCAACGCTCTAAGAGAGGCTTTTCAAGGTAGGCTTATGACGTCAAGAGCGCTGCTGTGGCTGATGGGGTCCATGCGGGACGCATCCGTAATGAGACTAACAAGGGAATGGTTTGAACTTCCCATGGAACTTTGAATGGAGACCTAGGCACATCGATAGAGTTTCGAATGCTGATTACGAATATGCAGATTAAAAGTGCTACGGGGACCTCCCAGACGAGTTCTGGGCGGTCAAAGTTTGCGAAATCCCGGTTTTGTCTCATAAGCGCTGCTGATCGCTCATTGGACAGTGTCACCGTGGCCTAGTGGTAGTGGTCTCTTGCAAAGCGTGAATTCGTGGGTTGCATCCTTGGCGTGGAAACTTTCTGCTTCTTCGTCATATAAAAATTACAACTTCTAATTTTTCGTAATCTGCTCCGAGTGTCTACGGCTCAGCAGAGCTAAGCTAGATCAATAGTTACAGTATTGGGTCCGTATTCGATCAAGTATGGATTTGATGGCTATCTGTCCTCTCTGAACTCATTACCCATCCGACAATTCGAAGTTTTGGCCACAGTCACAATTTGGCCAAAACTCGTTCCTGGAGGTATTTTGCCCCCTGAAAACGATTATCATTTCATTGAACGAATATCATTTACTTTTTGGCAAGAAGACGCTTGTAGCCTTTCACTTTGCTGTGATCACCAACTGAACATCAACTGACCGGTCGTTTCCTCGCCGAACGAATATGATATTCGTTTTCAGGGGGTCAAAATACACCCAGGAGCGAGTTTCCGGCCAAATTTGTGATTCTGGCGAAAACCTCGATTTGTCGAATGGGTAATGAGTTCAGAGAGGACAGATAGCCATCAAATCCATACTTGATCGAATACGTCAATACTTGATCTACTTGATCTACTTGCTCTGCTGAGCCGTAAACTCGGAGCAATTTCGAATCTTTATATTACTAGATGCAATAGCTCTTTTAGGACACGAACAAAATTTTCACGCCACGGGATGCAAACACCACGACGTATCGGCTTTGGAAGCGGAATACCCTCACGTAGCCACGGTGACAACTCGTCAAACAGAGCGATCAGCACGCTTATGAGACAAAACCGGGATTTCACAAACTTTGACCGCCCAGAACTCGTCTGGGAGGTCCCCGTAGCACTTTTAATCTGCATATTCGTAATCAGCATTCGAAACTCTATCGATGTGCCTAGGTCTCCATTCAAAGTTCCATGGGAAGTTCAAACCATTCCCTTGTGAGACTAGACCGCAAACGGCCAGAGCCCATGTGCACCTGTTCGGGAGCCCGTAAGTCATGGCCTGGGTAAATTTTTATTCAATGCGACCTCCCAAGAAGGAATTATCTTCTGTGTCCCGATAACCTAACGAAAAATACTAGTTTTGCTGTGCCGTCGACTCCTCCCCAGAGTTCGCGAATCTTAACGATGGTCCGTCCTGACCGCGGAGCGAACTTCATCGCGCAGCTGAAGGCCCCAATCATTGACAACAGCATCAAAGCACGTCGCACGCAGGGATCCCTAGTTCGGGAGAGGTCGTGTTTGCCTTCGAGAAAATCGTTTTTGCTCGTTGACTTTTTTCTGTTACTCGTACAACAAGTGAGCTACGTACCCACGCTTTCCCACCCTCCCCCCTCCGCTCAGTGGAAGTGTTTTAAGTTTTTTTTAG